ATACTCTTCCTGGGATGGATAGAAAGCATTTATTGGCCCTCAACTAAAGTTAATTATATAGTATTTTGATGGAAACTCAGCATACCTTGGAGAATTCCTCTACAAAACGTTCTGTCCTTATCATTACAGGGTTCCAGAGAGCTAAGGGACTGGTTGCTATTTTTCTAGTCAATTCACATTTCTTTCTTGTATCCTCTTCTAGGTTACATTTGCTCACTGAGAATTACTGTAAAAATAATAAAAACATGTTTCTATAAAGGAAAAGAAAAAAATAGTCACTCCTAGATTTATCTGAATTTCATCTGTTTAACCATATCTCATTTTGGTAGAACCCATTTCAAGGACTGTCTCTTTTACTCTATTTCAAGATTTCTATTGGCCTTAAAAAGCCATGCATCTTGGTTTCTTTGCTTGATTTTATTTGATTTTATTCATGTGTTTGGAGAGATCCTTGTGCACTTGGGGCTTATTCATGAAATGACTACAAAATAAGATTTTTACAAATTAATGACCTGACCCATGTGAGTGAAATGTAGCTATTTTTGTTATGATAAAAATAATTATGAAAAATATATCTCTCCTCAATTTTTTACCTACTATGATGACCCTAATTCTACTACATTTCAAAAGTGAAATTAAGATAAATAACTATAAGGCAAACATTTATTACATGAATTCTCTATATACTTTGGAATTTGCATTATCCTCTTCACCATTCAGCTACTATAATTGAAGTTTATTTTATTATAGAGAATCAGATGTCAGGTAGGTGGATTTGTAGGATGGTAAGGGCTGACAAATTTGCATCTATGTTGTTCTTTCTGTGTTTAACCTCCATCCATATAGAATTTTTGAGTGATTCATTTCAATATCTATGACTTTTGAGGTGAATAGATGTTGTTTTAGGGATTTTCAAACCAATTTACCCATGTATTATGATGGGGTAACTTTAGTGTTAGGAAATGCTTGGAATATAAACCCCCTTTCTTCTCACATATTAGTGTGATCTATGGCATGTTATTTTTCATCTCTAGTTTTGGTTTCCCCATAGTAAGTAGAAATCACAATGTCTGCCTAATAAGAATGTTATGAAATGAAACAAAAAAATATTACACATAATCTATATTAAATGAAATTCTACCAGTGACTATAAATCAATAAGCAAAAAGTCTAACACATACAGAATAGCTTAGTCACTTAAGCATAATAATTGGCTAGAAAACAGATGAAGTCATGCTCAATTTATAAAATGAAAATTAAAACCATGAAGGCTTTTGGTTTTGTTTGTGGGCTTTTAATTTTGTCCAAAATCAAAACTATCGATGGTATATAGTTTGGGTCAAGGCTTAAGCAATTGGATCCTGTCTTGGACAGTTTTGAATTTTTTTTGTTTTGTTTTTGGAGGAGTTTGTTTTTAATCTTTTCTTTTTTTGAAACATGGGATTGAACCCAGGACTTTACTAATATGAGACAAACCATTTTCCCACTGAGCTACATACTAGCCCTTGGGCAGTTCATGGAAGTATGAAAGATAAAGCTTTTAGGGAGGACCATTTGGCACTTTCTATCCAAATGATAAATATTCATGACTTTCAACCTAGAAGTTCTACATCTAAGTCTTTCCTCTTAGATAAATAATGTGTAAGGACAAGGCATATGTATAAGAATACTGGTAGGAATATTCTTTCTGAAGTAAATTATTGAAAATTACCTAAGTGTCCAATGATGGAAGAATGATTGAATGAACTACAGTTTATTCATACTTTAGAATACTTTAAGGTAGATTTAAAAGTCTGAGGTAAGCATGGAATAGTGGTGCACGCCTGTAATCCCAGTTACTCAGGAGGCTAAGGCAGGAGGATCATTAGTTTGAGGCCAGCCTGGACAATTTAATGAGACTGTGTCTCAAAATTAAAAATAAAAAAGGCCGGGGATGCATCTCAATGGTAGAGTACCCCTGGGTGCAATACCCAGTGCCAAAAATAAATAAATAAAATAAAGTCTGAGATAGATGTGTGTGGGCTGAAATGAAAAAAATATATATATATATCCAAGACATCTTAAATGGACAAATGTGTAATGCAACACACTATGCACTTCCATTATTGTAAGAAAACTATTTATATACATGCTTATGCATATATATATATATATATATATATATATATATACAGAAAAATATCAGTAAGTGATAACATTTGCTTTGTTTAGTTTGGAGACTGAGTTTGGGAATCAGAGGGAAAATGATTTGGCTTTTTATTCTATTTACCTCTGTAATTTCAAGCCTTTTAAATGAGAATATTTGTTTATAATTTGCTTATGTAAAATAAAGAAATATACCCCACAATGAGTAAATAAATTCACCAACCACAGAGCCTGACATGTAATTGATAGTCATAATCAGACCCTTTGCCTTATGTGGTCTGAGATTCACTGAGGTAAGTTGATTTCATGGTTTTGTTTACATAATGCAGACACCTCATGTATCAACTGCTTAACTCAGATGTCAGTCTGAAACTATTTAGGGAGTGATTCAGGATGAAACTTTGGAAAATTCAGGATATAGCTTTGTAAAAGCTGTATGTGTGCAGGTAGAGTGAAAGGAGGAATGTGAGCACCATTTTTCTGAAAAACGTTATATGTCTGTGAATTTTATGGAGTTCACCAGGTTGATCCAGTTCCTTTGTTTTGCAAATTTGGTTATAAATCTCTGTTTTTAAGAACTTATAGAGAAAATAAGATTGTTGAGCCAGCTGAGTCACAACCCAATATTGAAGACACTGGCAGTGGCAGTGGACACAAAGAAGAGAAGAGATAAGATACTTAATGAGTACTCGGGTTATAGGCATAGTCAACCAACTGTTCAGATGTCCATTTGGCCAACAAATATTTGTTGATGCCTCTCAGGAGCCAACCATGGCTTTAGACACTGCATATAAACACAACAAAAATCAATATCCTCATTGAACGTGCATTCCAGGAGGTATATGGAACTTTAAAAGCTACACAAGAAACGTATGGTATGGATGTTAAGCAGAAGATAATATAGAGGAGAGATGTGTCTTAGAAGCCAAATTTATTACAGTTAATGTGAAATAACCTGAAAGGGACAGTAGCAAGGAAGAGTTAATGATTAGCCTAATTACATAAGAATTTGAAAGATAAGGGGTTTTGTTGTTATTGTGTGCTTTTTCAGAGAATAGGGATTAAAAAGAATGGACTGAAAAAGGCAGTTAGTAGTTAGGAGGATACCTACACCACCTGAAGCAGGATAGCCTGAATTATGAGGTTGTAGGAGGGAAAGGGCCTACAAGGGAAGCAGTGTTGTAGGTGGGGGATAAGGGGCAGTGCTAGGTGTGGGTAAGAAAATGAATTTTCCATAAAAAAAGCTGAGGAGGATACTATATGAGTTTTTCTGATATTGGATGTAAATTCCCAAGGACCTATTAAAGCAGTCTTAGTGGAAGACATTGTCAGAAATGACAGAGTCCAAAAATATTTGGAGATTAATTCTGGGGATGAGGATTGATTTGGGATTGACATAATGTGAATGAAGATAGAAGGAGAAAGGAAAGGGGGGCATTCTTTGCTAGAGGAGTGTAGCAGTGATAGGGGCTGCTGCTAATGGAGGAAAGAGACTCTTATAGAAGCTTTTGTGCCAAATCATTGCTACCTTTATGCAGTAGCATAAGATCACTGTGACAAACATACTTGAAATAAACAACTCAAAGGAAGAAGGATTTATTTTCACTCACAGTTTTCAGAGAATTCAGTCCATAATCAGCTGGCCCTATTGCTTTGGGTCAGAGACAAGGCAGAACATCACTGCAAAAGGGCATTGAAGAGGAGAGCTGATCCTCGCTATGGCACCCTGGAAGGAGAGAGAGAGAGAGAAAGGAGAATCTATATTCCAGAGCATGTTCACTGTTATGGTTTAGATGTGAAGTGTCTCTCAAAAGCTCACTTGGAAGACAATGCAAGAAGTTTTGGAGGAGCAATTATTGGATTATGGCTTTAACTTAATTGGTGAATTAATCCCTGATGGGATTAACTGGGTGGTGACTGGAGGCAGGTGAGGTATGGCTGGAGGAAGAGTGGTTCATTGGGGGTGTAGTTATGGGGCATATATATTTTGTATCTGGGGCGTGGAGTCTCTCTGCTTCCTGATCATCCTGTGAGCCTGATCCCTCTACCACACTCTTCTGCCATGATGTTCTACCTCTCACCTCAAGTCCCAGGGAATGGAGCCTGCTGTTTATGGACTGAGACCTCTGAAACCATGAGCCCCCTAAATAAACCTTCCCTCCTTTACAATTAGTTTGGTCAGGTCCTTTGGTCACAGCAGTGAAAAAGTTGACTAAAACACTCACAGTGATCTGCTTTCTCCACGTAGGCCCCACTTCTTACACTTTCTTTCATCCTCCCAATAATACCATCAAATTGTGAATACATTGATGGATTAATTCCACTAATAAAGTCAGAGCCCTCATAATCCAGTCACTTCCCCAGAGCCCCAGCTCTGAACATCGCTGCACTGGGTACCATGCCTTCAACACATGAGCCTTTGGGGAGCATTCCAGATCCAAGTTGTAACAATCACTATTAATGCATTATGTTGTAGTTAAGTGGTAGAGAAAGAAGGGCTCTTCTCAGCAATAGTAATTTGAATGTGTTAAGTTTTATTTATTTCACTACTTGAAAATCTAAATGGTTAGGTTTATGCAAAGACAATACAAATTATTGTTGTTATAACTCCCTGGATTTCCATTTTCTTTTTTCAAAAAAATTTTTAAAAATATTGAAATCTCAAACTGAAAGAGAAACTACTATTTCTCAGAAATCATTTATTTGACAAAAATTGTATTTGACAAAAATCTCAACGTTTTTCCTTAACAAAATAGAAACAAATCTGAGTTCTAAAAGCTACATGGTATATGAAAATTATTTATTGACCTCTCCTAAGTAGATCATTTCTAAAGCTCATCTTTTTGAATTTGCAGGTATGAATGTAAGCAAAAGTGAGATAACAAAAGAAACTTCATTGAAACCATCTAGGAGATCCCTGCCTTGCCTTGCCCACAGCTATGCTCATTCAAAGAGCTTGAGCCAATCTACCTCGCTCTTCCAGTCAACCGAGAGTGAATCTCAGGCTCCGACCTCTGTAACTTTAATCTCTGCTGACAAAGCAGAGCAAGGTGAGCAGCAATTATTGTTTTCTTGTTCAATTTATGAAAAGTAAGTGCATCCTTTTTTTTTTTTTTTTCCATTTGACTGGTTTTAATAGAGCTTTTCAGAAAGGAGACTAGAATAGGACAGAGAGCAGACCCTCCTTCTGCCAATCAGTTGAAAGGCCCAGTGTTGGCCAAATGTTTTTATTCCTTCCTTGCTTTGCAGGTGGCCAGTCCCATAATAATCTGAACATACTTGCTGTTTGTGGAGGAAGACAGACCAAGCGTATGCGTGAATCACTATCTCAAAGGGCCATTGTTTACATTGCCAATTGTTAATAAAATCATTCCTTGTTAGAATTTATAAGCAATGTTCAAATAAAATGTCATCAATAAAGAATTCCATTTCCCATAAAGAAAAACCAAAGATTTTAATCTTGATTATAAAACAGTGAAGATTTGGCTGCATGAACATGGACTAGTGTTTGCAACAAAATGTTGACAGGCAAGATCTAAATTTTAGGCACATTCTAGCTAGATGCCACATTAAAGAAACTGGCTGAGTTTAGGCCATCTTTTACACATATAGGCTTGTCAGAGACACACTGTTATGATTTTAGACCATTTGCAAAATCAAGAGTCAAAATAAAATCATGCTCCCCATTTTTCAAAGATGAGTTTGTTTTTCTCATTCATCTCTAGCTTTTTCATACATTTATTCATGTGATTCCTTTGAGTTGCTACTTCCCCTGAATAATTTGAAAATACCAAAACTTATCTCTTAATAATATTGCAAAATCACTATATATTATAAAAATCCAACTTACAGCCTTATTCAATAATGAATTGTTCAAGAGGATAAGTGTATTAAATGTAGCATAAATATTTCTTTCACTTATCAAAATTTATTTTAAATAATTCAAACATTAACATAAAACATTTCTTCATTTTGGCCATCATTTGCCCATCAAATATAATAATAATTTTTCAGTCACTATTACTTTTATTTTCCAAAACTAATATGTGTCTTCTTTCTTTCAGTTAACCCCGAAGAGAATGAAAAAGACTCCGTGCTCAAATGCTCCTTTGCTGACCTCAGTGATTTTTGCTTGGGTGAGTTAATATTCCATATTTCACTCCTCGTTTTCCTCTCTCCAAATCTGTTTTCAAACCTTAAACAGATTTTGTCTTTTAACATTCCATTGGTGAATATAATATTCTAAAGTTAAAAATTATTAAGGAATTTGTTGTACATTTTGAAATTCAAATAATAAGACATAAAACAACACCTTTATGAACAACAATCCCATAAAAATGTTAACAATTTTTGCTGTTGCCTAGTACATTTATGCTATTATTAATACTACATTTATCAAATTATGGCACCTGATATTTGCAATCAAAGTAATACTGAAAGATTTTGTTCTTACGTTAGAGGACAATGTTTATTTCCTTTTCCTCTAGCAGTGACAATTGACTCAGTCTCTTCAAGAGTCATCTTCAAGAGGATGAGTGTCTTCTTTTGCCTTTTGCTATTACCACATGAGATTTGCTTTTGTTGAGCAAGGTATAAATTCAGATCAACACCTTGCTGTCCTTTCTCATGAGTGATGGTTTTGAACTTGGACTTTTCCTTGCGTTATTGTTGGTGATGCTTCTTCTTTTTCATGTGTTTCTAGGGATTGATCACAATGTCACTCTACATTTTTATTTTTTATTTTGAGACAGGGTCTTGATAATTTGCCCAGGCTAGCCTTCAACTTTGGATCATTTTGCCTCAGCCTCCTAAGGCCCTGGAATTACAGATGCGAACCACCATGCCCAGCTGGAACTTTTCCTTTTTATAAAGTAAATATTAATAAAAGAAATAATTAATCAAAAAATAATACTAATTTGCCCAAACACTTATTTTGCAACTTTGGAGTGAATATATTTATAAGTATAAGAAATTAAGCCCTGAGTTTTCAGTAGTAAGAACATGGGGGCCTGGCTATGTTGTCTACATTAAGGTTCTCAAACCTGGTTATATATTCAGATATTAAAATTTCCTTGTCCCAGCTCCAGAGAATCAGTATTAAACTGTTGAAGGAGTAATATAGGTATTCATACAGTTCTACAATTCCACAGGCAAATATTAAGTGTATCCAGGATTAAGAATTTCTGTCCTCAAATTTGATCATTAGTTTCTCAGGGCATTGGTAATGTATTTTTATCTTTCTTAAAGCTGTGAACTATGTAATTTATGATAACATTGTAAATTACTGAAAATTAGTCAGGTTTCTTATAATATTTTTTGAATGTGTGTGGCATAGAAACAGCACTGGTTTATCAAGTTTACTAATTAAAGCAACCAGCAGATTCACTTCATGTATACATCAAAAGATTATTTCACCAGAAAAAATGCATTGCTCAGAGTACAAAGATATTTCCATAGCAATTAATTCTGAAAGAGATGGTTATTATCACTTTTTTTCTGATAATAAAACAAAAATACAAACAACAGCAAAACAAGAAAAACACTAATATTTTCTTTGTCCAAAATGTCTACACATGTGGTAAGTTTTCCATGGCTTTTTTCCTGATAATTCTCCCAAACTAATACTAGTTAATGGTTTTCTAATCACTCTAGTCATGTAAACCTTCAATTTCAATTCCTTGAACCCAATTTTTGGAAGTTTCTTATTTCAAGTAGTCAAAGCAGGTTTTTCTGAGCACTTACTAACTCCCATTCCTCTCCTCATCATTTTGGTTGACTCTATTAATTGGCCTCCTGATGTGGTGGACATCTCTCCAGGTATTGTATCTCACACTCAGTTTTTCTGTATCAGTCTAGCATTCATTAATGTTAGAGATATATCCCAACTGCTGAAGAGATGAAAACCCATTTGCATGATGAGGTGTTTGCCTCATTGTAACATTAAGCAATCCAGGAATCCATCAGGATGTAGCTCCTGGGTGGGAAATACTTTTTCGAGAAACCTCCATGTCTATAATGTGGGTTCTTTCATCATCTTTGAGAATAGGTCAAACAAAATGATGTCAGATATATCAAGAGTATAATTGTATAAAGTGCAAGTATTTTAGTAAAGCAAAGTGGCTATTTTTTCCAATTTTTCTTATGGAGTATCAGCTTCTATGTTGGGTTGGAATTTTTAAGGACCAGTGGTGTCTGACAAATGCATCTGGTTAATGAGTTTTCTTCCTTACAGTGAGCTGCTTTGAGCCATCCCATGAGAATATTAGTGCTGTGGTAGAGTTAACTGCATGTTGTCAGTCCTTCATTAAAGGATGAATTTCATGGTTCTATTAATTCCTAGCAGAAGTTTCCACTAAGGTTGTCTAGCAATGTGCCCTTATCATGGATGAAATTCTTTTTTTCCAGCCAACACTGGTTAAATCTTCTTTCTTATATCTAAGCTCTCTGACTGTGATATATTACTTAACCTCTCTGTGCCTCAGTGAACTTATTTATAAATTTAGAATCTGGGATACATTCTCTGTAAGATTTTTAAATAAAATCAAGGAACACAGTTTTAGCATAGTTCCTAGAACATCAAGTATTTGTTCATTGTTTTACTTAGTCAGTTACCAAGCTTGTCTTTCAATACCTAGTTTTTCTGGATCCAGAGATATCTTTATCAAACAACTGTTTCTAATATCATTAGAATATAATGCTTAAGACATTGTGGAAAAACAGTAAATTACTGAACTCTTGCTTATTATACTTTTGCCTTCCTCATCAGACTGAATTCTCATAAGAACCCTTTGGGATAGGTACAATTATCAGGCAATATTTTTGATTTTTTGTTAATAATATTGTAGCTTTTAATTCTGTTCTTCATAGAGCAGGTCATGAAGCCAGTGTATCACTCCACACTGTTCCACCAGATACACACATACAAATCATTGTACCAAGTGCTGAGGCACGTATAACAATGATATTGAAACCCTGGTGTGGCAATAATCTTATCCTTTTATCTCAGGGGCTCACTAGCATTGCCTACCACTTGCTTTTCTCAGTATGCTGGAAAATTGCAAGGACAGAGAAATACCCAGCAATAGGTTTGATGCTGCTCATGACTATGCACGATAAAATCAGGTCACTTGGAAATGAGATATGGAGGTCTCATCAAGACCAGCATAATTTGAGCTCTACCAACCGAATGCATTTATTCAATCTTGCAGTGAATTCAACATTTTGCTAATGTGTTGTGATTCACTGAGGAAGTGATTCACATTACAATGTTAAGACATTTGTTCGCTTTCTACAAATTTAATAGTTTATCTTGCTAGAGTACTTGCTGTTCTTATTTCTTGAAACAATTATGGTCAAATAAGTACCTGGTAATTTTTGCATTCATTTCATAATTTTATAAAATCACTGATTTCCATCATTTTCCCCAGCAACATTCCCTATCAAGATCATATCAGAAAGAACTTTCTACTAACATTCCAGCCTATTCAGGGATTACATAAATAAAAGAATTGTTGAAATAACAATATTTTTCAGTCATTGTAGCCCCAGGGTCTCTGTGCATTTGGATTATCTTTTAATTCTTGATTTAACATATTCAAAAAGTCCTCTTGGCTCCACTTTCAAAGTCATGTCTAAAACCTGAAGACTGCTCATCACACTAGCTGTTCCACGTGGTCCAGTCTGCCTTCTCTTGGTGCACTGATGCAGTGGCTTTCTTATTCTCCCCATGTTTTTTATTGGTGTATGGTAGTTGTACATTCCAATGGGGTTTGTTGTTACATATTTGTACATACACACAACACATAATTTAACAACGTGCTTTGGCCAATATCACTCCCCAGCTCTGGTAACTCCTTAACTGGTCACAATCTCTTGCCTCCTTATAGTCTGTTCTCCATCCAGCAGTTACAGGAAGCTTTAATAAAAGAAAAATGACATCTTATTACTTCTTTGCTCCAATTCCTCCTGGGTTTCTATTATATCTAAAATATAAACCTGCTGTGGCCTTTGGAGCCCTCACAGAATCTGGGTCAGGCCTCTCTGGCCCTTTTCTAATGCCTCCCTTTACTCACAGTGCTATTTGTTATAGAAGCTTCTTGTGTCCCTTATGGTCATAGTAGGATTGTTCTTATCCCAGGCCTGATGCTAAGATAAACCAAATGCACAACAGCTTCAAGTACTGTCCCTTAATGTTGATTTATTTTTCTTCATAATACTTATCACTACTCTAAATTTTGTGAATTATTTAGACCCTATCCCCCTTCCTACCCATTGTGTTTCTAAAAGGCAGAGAGACCTTGTTAATCTTGCTGACATTTATAGAACCAGAATCAAGATTTGTACCTGGCACATAGCAGGTGCTCAAAAATATTTTTAGGACTAGTGGCAATACCTAAATGGACATAAGCCAGAGAATATTGACACATATACATCTTTAGGGACTGCTGTGGAATCTGCCCATGGTTTGCTCTTTCTAATATCATTCATCACTGAGATTTCTCACCTGTTCAGAATTAGTGCTTTATTCATTTTTGCACTGAATATGCTCTTATTCGTTTAACTTGTGTTCACAGACTTTATGCAGAGCATTCAAAGACCTAAAAGTTTTCATTCTTATTAAGAAGTAAAATTGCCTTTCTAGCACTCCTCTTATGTGAGGTCCTTCCTTTTACTCAATAATTTGGGAGTGTCTGCCTTTCTATAATTATTGCATTTTGGATAGGACTTTCACATTAAGCTCACTAGTTGATAACACAGCTATTTGCATCAGTCTTCTTCATATTGCTTAGCATGTACTGTCTACTCAATGATGGAGGTGGATAAATAATTATTGGATGATTCGATGGTGAGGGGATTCCCACACTGTTGAAATTTATCCAATTTATCTGCAGGATTTGCTTAGCTGTGGGTTCCTTGGATACCGATCCCTCTGTGCCCTCAAAGTGGCTGTTTAGTAGTTGAACTTTAGGACAAAAATGTGCTTAGGGAGAAATAGACAACAAAGGAATGACAAATACTTAATATATGGGTACTCATAATCACCAGGTTCTAGCCTCTGAGTAAACCATATATGAATCACATATGGATATACTCTTCACAAGAAACTTTTGCATAATAGTAACTTTAAAAGTCATGC